AGCTCGGAGACGCTAGGCCCCGACGGTCCGGGTCCCTGGGCCTCCGCGGAGGACGCGGCCCGTTCTCCACCGCGGACTGACCAGGGCCGCACGGCCGGGAGGGCCCGGAGAGAGGTCTCCCGACACGGAAGCAGCGAGACTGCGCACGCGCCAGGTCACAGCAGTGCAACGCACAAGCCCAGCTTGGAAACAGCCCAGAGCTCCGTCCGCGGAGGATGCAGGGATGGAGTAGTACTCAGCCGGAAGGAAGAACGGACCCGCGACATTTGGAGCAAAGGAGATGGAACGGGAATCCATCAGGTGTGTGAAATTGGCCAGACTGAGAAAGTTAAATGTTACGTGATTTCTCTTGGATGAGAAAACTAAAATAAATGTAAATAAATAAATAATGCAAGAAGGAATGGGAAACGAGGTTTCAAAAATGGCGGTGGGGAGGCTAGCTACAGCAGGAGCATCACAAGTTCCAACCCAGCCTAGGAAACTTAGAGGGACCCTGTCTGAAAATTAAAAAATGAAAAGTTAAAAAACAAATGACTAGAGATGTAGTTCCGTGCAAAGACGGTCTAGAGCTGGGGGGCTAAGGAACACGTTTTGCACTTAAATACACTAATAAGGTGTTTGAGATTTTAATGTTTAATTTCCATCTTAGACTAAGACATACTCCTGTGAGATACCGAATACATGTTTTGTTAGAAAACAGCATTTTATTGAAACCGGACGACGAATCTCTGAAGAACAAGCGCCCATTCCCACTGAGGAAACCGAGCACAGCTCCCGCCCGGTTAACCGCCTCCCGCGGGGCTGCAGACCGGCCCAGCTCCCGGATCTCACTCGCTGCTCAGCCAGAGTCTGTCCCAGCAAAGGACAAGAACGGGGGCTGGGGATGTGGCGCAGCGCAAAGCCCAGGCTCGGTCCTCAGGACCACGCACTCACAAGCGCGCACTCGCTCACAAGCGCGCCCACGCGCACGGACACGCGGACACGAGCGCGCGCACAAAGTAGCAAGGAATCTTCCCGGGCTGCTGCTGAAGGAGAGCGACTTCCAGGACAGCCCCGTGTGGTGACAAGGCGGTGTGCAGGAGCGGCGCAAACACCCCGAGGACGCGGCAGGGAACACAGATCCCCGAGCCGCAGG